TTAAATATCTCCAACATGCCAAAGGCCAAAAACAATAATAATAATAATAATAATAATAATAATAATAATAAATATCTTCAATATATCCATTAGCCACGGAACAAGCAGCGGCCACAACAAACGCAGTAACGAAACGACGAGGCGCGAACACCACGTGTCAATAAAGCAGACGTTTCCGTTATCTAGCTAGTCTAGACTACACATTGACTTCTGTTGGTTTTTTTTTCTTTTTTCTTTTTTTGAAGAAAAAAAATTTAAAACACCACACATTAGACCGTTTCACATTCTGTGTTTCGTTTTCACTCACTCAGTATCTTCACCCGCGTCAAATTGGAATTCCACGAGGTAGGGCAAGAATCGCCGGAAAATGGGGAGGCGGAAGCTGCAGATGAAGCGAATCGAGGACAAGAGTAGCCGTCAAGTCACCTTTTCCAAACGCCGCTCCGGATTGATCAAGAAGGCGCGCGAGCTCTCCATTCTCTGCGACGTGGACACCGCCGTCATCATATTCTCCAGCCACGGCAAGCTCTTCGAATTCTCCAGCACTAACAGGTACGCCTTACGCCTCCTTCCTCGCTTTCCTTATCTCTATCCCGCGTTTGGGAATCCGAAAAACAATAATCTAAAAAAAGTGAACAAAACTCCATGAATTTGGTATTCTAATCGTTCTTTTCCATTTTCCATTTCCTAATGTTTTCTGCTGTTTACGCTCACTCTTTATTTCCTGATGAACGCAATTCTTATGATTTTTTTTTTTTTTTTATATCTACGGATCTGATATTCTATTTTTTAATTCATAAAAGATCCTGTATGAGTATGATATTTAATTTTCGTGTAGATATTTGTAACTCCGTCAGTGTCAAACACAGTTTTTTCTATGAAAGCTAAATTTAGATTCCATTTATTATTATGGCTATGACTATATTACCATTAAATAAATAAATATAAAATTTGATTTGAATAATTTTTTACTCGTAATTTTTAATTTTACTTTTTATTATAAAATTTTTTATAAAAAAAATTTATACATTACGGTTTAGATTATATGTTTTGTTTTATAAATTTTTTAAAATATTATTTATAAAATAACATACAAAATAATTTTATTAAAAATATTTTAATAAATTCATAAAATAATTTATACTGTACAATCTTTTCCGTAACGCACTGTGTTGGTTTATAAAAATCACAAACACTTGGATGTGATGGTTTTGGGATAAACATTGACGCTAAACCCTTTGCTCGCGTCTGCAAGGCGCTGGCAGGCATTTGCAGCAGACTGTTGTTGCCTTCTAGTATCTTCATTGTCTTTGTGTAATCATGCCGCCTTTTTTTTTTTTTGTCTCCTAAGTGGGATTCGATATTACTATAGTAACACTAGTTTCCTCTAGGAATAGAAACAAGAGTAAAATGCTCCTTTAGGCGTTGTCCTCCAGCTCCTGTTACAAACAGTATACTCCCTACTGTTATATATACGGCTGGCTTTTGAGGGTTGTAAGAGAAATTGAAAAGTTGGCAAGGGTCATGCGATAAACAGGCAAAAGGAGAGCTGCGGAGTTTGGGGCACGGACCAAACCCTTTAGTTTCGAATTAGTGATGCCAAAGAACAATGTTGTTGGTGTGTAGCTTGGATTTAGAGGTGTCAATTATTGAGCATGGAATGGGGAATAAATAATCTACAAAAAGTGTTTTCATAATAATGCAAGTTTAATGTCAAAAAAATATAGATGTATTTGGTTACACTATATACTCTATATGTTGTAAGATTCATCAGTGATTAATTCAGTTCACCAAGATGTATATGAAGAAATTGGGTTGCATTGTATTTTGTTCATTAGGCGATATGCTAATGAAGCAGTAATACAATGGTTTAAGGACATATTGATGTTTTAGGAAACAATTAAGCGAAAAGTGCTAGGTTAAGGTGAGGCATTGGGGCGTTGCCTAGAGTTTGAACGTTTTTCTTATTTCTTTCCTTGTCTCTTTTTTTTTTTGTGAGGCATTGGGGCGTTGCCTAGAGTTTGAACGTTTTTCTTATTTCTTTCCTTGTCTCTTTTTTTTTCCTCTTTTTTTTTTTCTTTTTTTTTTGATAAGTTACAAAAATATGTCATAAAAATAATTGAGAAAATTCAAATTTATTTGCAAGTATTAACATAAATTCTTCTATATTGAAAATGGAGATGATTTTATAGCAAGTTACTCATTTACCCCGAATAAGTTCAAGAGCAAGAATATTGGCCTTCATGAAAGCAAAAATTTAACACGTTCAACTCTTACAAGTCATGTTAACAATAAGATGTTCAAAGACAATTGGAGCCATCTCCCTCTCAAACAAGAAGATATCCAAATGGGAGATTCAAATGAAGTGAAACACTAAGTTGTTGGCCTATCAGTGGATTTTTTGTGAGTTTTTATTACAACATGATGTAGTTTCACTTGGAGATTGCCTATCACCTAATCACCATCTAGCAAAATTACAAATATAGTGCCCAATCACGCCAAGGCACACTTCATTGCGCCTAACACACCTAATCAATGTAACTTTATACAAATCTACAAAATCATTGCCTAGCTGCTTAAGTGAGGCAACCAACCACTGTGTGGTGCCTTGGCGTGCTTTTTACAATACTATCATGATGAACATACTAATCTAATTGTGGTGATCAAAAAGTGGAACACAAATTTTACAATACTGTCATGACAAACACAAATTCTTTTTTACAATAATCGCATGTCATGGCCAATACCCAATGGTAGTATGGACCTTCACTTAAGGTGTTTTCATTTTGGTGTTTTTTCTTAAAATTATTCTTATCTCTTTTGCTAGCTATCTATGTTTCTAAATCTTTTATTCTAAAAAATTCAATTTTTCACTTTAGAACTTTAGGCTTGATGATGAAGGTGGCTCTTATATTAAAAAGAATAAGAAAATTTGAGGGAAAAAAAAAGAAAGAAAGAAAAACAAAACATTATAAGTATGTTGTGGCCTTCTTTTGTATTATATATCTTTTTAAGTTTTTTTCTCTCTTTTTTTAATGAATTATCAATATTATAGCCTTCCTTTTCCAAAACTCTGTGGAACACAAATTGACCATTTTTTTTTTTTTCAACTTTCAAAAAGTGGTCTTAAGTCTCAAACTTTGTAACAACAGACTAAAAAGACATAGCTCATTGAGATTTATAAAAACCGAACTATATATTCCTAAAATGTTTCTACTTAATCATTGCATGCATTTAATAGTTGTTAAACTTTTTTTCTACATGTTTTATGTGAAGCAAACTATAGAAGTTTTGAGAATTAAAGGTTAAAATTCTTATTAGCACATAGCAAGTATTATTAAATATATGTTAGTAATTTACGTGTCATTATAATGTTGTAATATTTACTAAACTACTATTATAATTACAGTTATGATTAGAATTATTGTTGTTTTTAGTTTTTAGTTTTTATTGTTGACAATTTAACAATTAATTAGATAAAAATAGACAGGTTTAACAAAAGCAAGTTTCTAGATTTGGTTATATGTTTTCAAAATCTGTATTTGTTGGTTTCAAGTTTTAATTTAATTTCCTTGTCAATTTTAGTTAAATTTTTTATAACCGAAACTAGAAACCAGAAACAACTGCAATAATAGCGTCTAAATAAATGTTTAAGATTTTTTTTTTTTTTTGTCATCTAGTTCTACCTTTAGATGGTGAAGGAGTTTAGTTAGGATACATTTTTTTTTTCTTTAAAGAAATTGGAATTTCATTTAAATCAATAAATATGAAATTAAGTGTTATGCACCAACCGAATGGAGTGGGACACTAGAGGCTCTAGTATGCTACTCCATTAAAAGAACACTATAGAAGAATGGAAAATGATTGGTACATATTCAGTTCAACACACTTCTAACATTCGTCTTGGTTTAGTTAGTTCCTGCATCCTATATGTATGGCTGCATCTTTAAGTTTGTCTGCCTTTAATTTCAAATCAGAAAAGTGATTTTATAATGAGTGTGTTGTACAATGTATTGAACCATGGTGTATGTCAATCAGTGTCCTAGAAGAATACGACCCATTCTCTAAAATGAAGCTGGATAGTTAGGTTCAATCAGCCGAGAATAATATCACTCCTAGAACTAGAGTACATATAAAGATTAAATCTCAACTTTCCCTTTTCCTAACTAAAGCTACTAAGGTAATGCTTGACACTTTAGTGGTGGCAAGAACCTCCCATCATGGAAAGGAGTTACAACCTCTTAGAATTTGGAATAAAGGACACCACGCCATGAGTGCCAACCAGCACCTTACTACCCAGCAAATTAGGTGAAGATGTAGAGCCTTCACTACTATTTGCACTTAACCTTTGCTGAATCTCCGAGCACGTCCTTACTACATTTTGCTTCTGTCCCTCACATCTCCTGCAACACCGACCTTGTCTTCCATTGACTGTACCATTTGGAATGTCATTGGAAAAACCTTACACGTGGAACATCATTGGAAAAACCTTTCTTCACTCCTCACCTGCATCCCTTAAAAAATTAACCTTTGCAGAGAAAACAAAAGCATCCTTTCATAGATCTCTATCATCTCCCCTTTATCTCCTTTGGCAACTCCCCACAAAACACCAGCTGAAATTCTCTAGGATTCTAGACACCTTCCCCTTATGGACCTCATAAAGAGAACACTCTTCTCTAGTGATCTTCCTCCAAGTAGAGGAAGCTAAACTCCCCCTTGGTGATCCCATGAACCAACCCAAGAAGTTTCCAACTTTATAGTAAGTGTAAACACACATCACTGCCAAAGTAAACTGTCCTCTATCCCTCTTTATAATCTTAGATTCACAAAACTTCCTTGCAAAATGTTTTTACAAATCCATGAGATTTTTTTTTTTACTTGTTTCTTGCATTGCCAATACCACTTGATTGAAAGTGACAAGGACATTGATTGATACACCCTTTGGTTCAACACACTCATTAAAAAATCATTATTTCCTTTTTGAAATTAAAGGTAGACAAACTTAAAAATGCAAGCATGCATAAGGCATGTAGAAATCAACTAAATCGGTTGTATTTATATTATATTTTAATGGCTAAACTACACATATGTCAATGGGTGTATTGAACCAGAAGGTGTATCAATCATTTTCCAAGTGACAAGGTAAACCATCCTCTCTAATTCCGCTTTTTAGAAAGAACATACCTTAGATTTCCTAACTGGTACACTTGTTGCAAACTTCTTTAGACCTAAGAGAAAAATTCACTTAACCATCATTGATATACATTCTTTTTGAACCCATATCCTTTAAATGACAGGTAGCTATGAACCCAATTTACAACCATCTTGCAACACATCGAACCTAGTCCAACTAAGTTTTGAAATGGTCTGCACTTGCCTTTCTAATTGTGGGTGTGTGTTTCATTTGACTTTAATATACAAGGGAATATGGAATCAATAGGTGATGTATCTGCTAGCATGTCAACACATTGTCTATCTATTTATGCATGTATGTGTATATACACCTTTACATATGTATATATCATGTGCACTGAGATGCTAAGAACTACCATTTGTATTTATGTTCTCAGAAAAATGAAGAAATAAAGCAGAACAGAGATGCTAAAGACTACCATATGTACTTGCTTTTTCATCTTTCTTGAAATTAATTTTACAAGCACTGTACAGAGTTCTTTAATTTGTTTTCTGTTTGGCAATGCCTTCCATCAGCAATTTGCCTAATCTCGATGTCTTATATGAATTGGTCACAATTTACGGTTTTGCTGCCTATAGTACCTGAATTGTAAATTCTATTAGATAACTCCATTTGACAGAGTAACCTGTTTTTTTTTATTTTTTATTTTTTATTTTTTTGCATTCAGTTTGGGTAACATGCTTGAACGTTATAGGAGTCACTATGAAGAGAAATATGAGACTTCAAAGGATGTCAAACCAGCAGTAAGTTTACTTGCCTCAGTTGTCTACCATAGTTGTTTACTATGTAACTGATGGTTCTGAATTTTATGGAGAACATTTTGGTTTGGATGGAATGGTAGGTTAATCATTCCCCTCTATAACGTTTCTGATTAACATCTAGGATACTAAAGTGATGGATCATACTATCTGTACTTTGATGTTGCAAGATATCGATGTCATTTGGTGCAAAACAAAGCCTATATTTTGTCTTACATCTTAGCTTAACCGAATCAACTAGTGGGATACTTGGAAATATGCACTTGTCACATGTTTTTTATTGTTTCACTATTTGTCTTGAAATTTTTGTTCAGAAGGCTAGACATCTTGACTGCTGATCAGATTTTTTGTTCAGAGCATACCTTAAATGGAATTACTATTGTTTGTATTTTTCAATCCTAAAAGTTTGTTCAATTACCTTGTAACATTTATGCATTATTCTGGCATCTCTGTATGCAAATTTGGTATTTCTATAAGTTTCAAACCAGAAAATATTGGATATTGGTAATTCTGAAATAATTTTTGCCTTTGTTTAATCTCCATTTTCCAATGGAGACTTCTCCTGGTTTTAAATTCTACATATGCTTTTTAACTGCTAAAATTACTAAAATTTGACATATAGCTTCATGGTTGAATTTAATATTTTATTTGTTTCGAATGTTACCTAAGTAGCCACTACCTCCAAATTTTCTCTTTGCAGCTCATTTCACATGCAGAGCTATTAAATATGATCCAAAGGTGAGTTTCTTAAAGCCAGCATTCACCTCATAGTGTCATGTTAATTGTTAATTAACTTGGTACTTATCTCACCACAGCCAACTTGAAGAACAAAAAGTGGAGCAGCTGACTCTGACTGACCTTGTAAAACTAGAGAAACAACTCACTATGTCACTTTCAGAAACTAGGGCTAGAAAGGTTAGTGTTTTTGTTTACTGACATTGAAGAACCTAAATGCAAATAATATGTAGAGGTTTCACATTTATAAAATGTGATGGAGGAGTTTTTCCTACAAAATTGGCATGTTATCCTATGTTGATTGCATGTTTCATTGTATAAATCCTGTGATTTGAGCTACAGAGGAACAGCTGTTCCCACTCAGCTAGACTCAAGGAGCTTTCATCTCTCATCCTATAGCCATGCATATCTTTGATGCTTTTTCATAATTTCCTAGCTTTAGTCTATCTTTGCCATATCGTTGGGGCACGGGGAAACTAATTTGTCTCACTCTGCTGCTTCATACTTTGCTAATTTGTTGGAATAACATATTTCCCCATTGAACTCTTCAGAGGTATGACCTCTGTACAAAGTTTTTTGGCTAATTAATCTCCTGCAGGGTATAGCAGAGTCTAAATTCTAATATCTATAGTTTATTGCCAATTAGTTATCTCATGTGGTTTGACAGGGTCTAAATCCTAATACCTTTCTGTTGGAGCTGATATATACCTTCCAGTATATCTTATCTCAACTTCAAAACAAGAATCTTATACCATACCAAAGACAGTTAACTATGAAGGATATCTGATGGCTGATATAAACCTTTACTGTCTGGCATCAGAGCATAAAGATGAATTCTTAATTTTTAGGCCACTTGTTAGGGTATCTTTTCTTTTATAATTTACCTAATGATAAAGTTGATGGATGCTTGAATTTGAGTAAGTTGTCTCTTGACTCATGAGGAGAATTTGAGTGGTTGACTAAAACGTCTGCTTCACTGACTCAAGTCACATCAATGAAAGTACTGGACTGGCTCTCTCTTTAAGACCTTTCAGATCATTGATTTTCAATGCATTTCGAAGTATTTCCTCGAGAATTTTACCCAACCTTTTTAAAAGAAACATTAATATCCTTGAGACTCCAAACTGTCCTAGCTGTTTATATGTTGTGCTAAGAAATGTGAAATTATTCTTTGTGCCCAAATCAGCCAGTCAAGGATGGTGATTTCTGATATGTACACGGTGCACCCCATTTATATCATGTCAAGTTCATTGAGGTTCTGACTCACTTTATCAATTTTATGTGCAGACAGAACTGATGATGGAATACATAATGAGCCTCCGTGAAAAGGTATGAAACTTTTACTTTTATAGAGAAAATAAATGCCAAGCCTCATCCTTGGGCCCTAACATGGCTTGCTTTACATTGTCATGTTTAAATTGTTGGGTGTTTTAAATTCACTAGCATGATTGTTGGCAATTTTCTTTTATCAACAGCTAGGGAATCATTTAGGTCTTCATGAAACTTTAAAAGCCTAAATGATTGGACACTTGCAAATGGACCACTCCTAGAGTGTCGTCTCCTCAGGATTATAATTGGTTAATATCCCCTAGCTGTGAAACTTTAGATTGTTAACCTTTCTTTCATTTTTTCTCTCAAATGCGAGAATAAACTCTGGTAGTGCATCTGTCTACTCTGCCTGATATCCTCGTTTTCCTCACATGAAAGACTTGTTCCATAATTTGCTAAAATAATCTTTTCCTTAGTTATTGACTTCACAGAAAGTTCTTTTTCCATTTGTAGTTCTATAATTTGCTAGAAAAAACCTTTACCTTAATTAGAAATTCAACTTGAACATATTCTTTCTCTATGAGGCCTTGTCAGGCTACACAAGATTAGTATTTCAGCTTCTTCTCATTTACGTGAGGAATTTCTAATGCTGTTGCCAAGTTCCCAATCTTCTTCACACTCTTCTGACTAGGATATGCCTTGATGCATCCTTATTGTCTATAACTAAAAGAGAACTGATCAATAAATTTAGTAGAACTAAATCCTATGTATTGTAGCTTAAATGATTTAATAGGTTTTTCTTTTCTTTTCTTTTTTGCCAACTGATTTAATGGTTTACTCTGACCATAGCTCATTTTTTGCTTTTTTTTTTTTTTGGTGGGGGGCGGGGGGTGTTGAGTTTTGAGGTGGAGTTCTATTGCCAAGTCATGCTATCTGGATGAATCCAAATCCCACTTGGATAAACCCCTAGAATCAACCAATTCAGTTCGAATCTCTCTGACTTCCCTGATTGATCTTCATAGCTATCTAAATGTCTAATGCTGTAACCATACTGATTACTTTTCATAGGTCATCTGAAAGTAAATTTTAAGAACCTACAAGTGATTGTGTGAGTGTTGTCTTTTATTAAATGTGTTCCATTAAATATCTCTAGTAGTCTAGTCTATTTAAAGTGATAACTTACCTTGAGGTCAGAGCAGAGCAAATTTGAATGTTACTCTCTTACTATCCAATGGTTCATGAATATCTGTGTTTTTTTGTGAGCATGCACATGAAATTACTGCATACGGCATCTGCTTTAACAACTTTGGTTTTGCTAATCCATAACTTTTTCAAACAGAAAAGGTTGCTGGGAGAAGAATATAAGCTTCTTCAGAAAGAGGTAAAGCATAACCTGCACCAAAAAATCCTCCATGCAAATATATACTTGACTGAAAATGTCCAGGAAACAACCGTAAGAGAAACTAAAAGCATTAATTGTATAATTATTTCCTTACTTGTACAGGTTGCTGCCATGGAGATAAGCAATACTGACGGAAATATGGTGGGAGTTGATCCACCGCTGGAGCTAACACTAACTCTGCTTCAGTAGGTGGCGCTGCTCGCTAGCTCAAGGGTTGCTGTGGTGGGTTGAAACTCCCCTCACAACCCATATATAGGAGCATTGTAAAGCAGTCAAGAGATACGTAACCCTTTAACCTATATATCTTTCTAAAGTGATTTCAACATCTGTCTATACCGTCTCTCTTCCTTCCTCCCACGTGTATGCAAAAAGCCCCTTTCAGAAACCTTAATATCTACAGCCTTTTTGTTGGAATCCACCACGCGTGCTGTTGTTCTAATATTCTACTTGTCCAATGCATATAACTCCGGTATGCAGAGTCTAATTGTCATTGTCTGATTTACTTATTGTGAGAATCATCCATGATAAAATAGTGTAATGTTATAATCAATGTAGTGATCTCAAACTGATTCTAGTCAATAAGGGGCGTGTCCATGTCCGTGTGCGTGCAATGTCCGTGTGCGTGCAATGTCCTAAGACATCTTCTGTACGAGGTGTGGTTGTCGGTAAGATGTTTATTCATTACAGACTTCATTTTCTCGAGACATCTTTTGCATTTTTTAACTTTTTTTTTTTTAATTGGATTAGACTTTTTTTTGCTACGACTACGAGGTATGTGCCCGAGGTAAAGATATTTATTCATGTCACGTTCACTATCTTCCGTAGAGACACGTAGCAGTGTACTAGGCTACTAGCACCTTTTGTGTTTGTGGAGACTGTGGCTGTAATTCTCAATGTTGACAAACGTAAGGTGGTCAGGCGCGGATGAAAATATCTAGGTTTTTTTTTTAATTTTTAATTTTTGTTATTTAATAAGAGATAATTATTTTTTATTTTATCTATATATCATATAATTTAAATTTAAATTTTTTTATTTTTAATAAAAAAATAATCATTAAATTATTTAAATTATTGAAAAAAAAATCTAGCTTTTTGAGAGTCAGTTTTTAATCTTTACGGAACCCTTGCTTAGGTGACACCTAGCACAATACCGCTCTCTGAAACTGAAAATATAACGAAGTATAATTTTTTTTATAATTTAAATTATAAAATATAAATTATAAATAATAGTCTCTAATATTATAGAGATTACTCATTATTTAATAAATTTTATTGTGTAATTTAATTACCATATGCTTTTTGTTTGTAGAGTAAATGGTATGAAGAGACGTAGCTATTTGTTGGGGGTAGTTATAACCATTAAGACGACACAAATCATGATACGTTTGTTTAATTTAATTGATATTTTTTAAAATAACTAACTATAATATTTAAAAATATTAATTTATAAATTAATTTTAATTTATTAAATAATAATTATTAATTACTAATTATTTTTAATAAATAAATCAGAAAGAGAGCTAGTGTGGCCACCACACACAGCTACACACAGCTTTTTGGCAAGTTAATTTGCTCATACTTGCAGTATGCTGCCGTTTAGCTCTGACTAACACCAAGAACTATGCCCAACAATCGCTTCAGTGCGTGCAATCGAGGCCCAATTTATAACTGGGTTGTGGGCTGGGTTTCAACCTAGACCCACCAATACCATTCTGACCCACCCCCCAATTGGATTCTTCGTTTGAGGGTTAGGCCTCAGGAAACTGGAGTGGGCTTGGGTAAGGTGAGTACAACTACTTTCTCCTTGATCACGGATGGGCCGGATTAAAAGTTGTTAACTGTCTGCAGACTGCAAGTACAGTGAACATTGGGCAGGAATATACTCATTTACTTACAAGTATTTTATTAATTTACATGTAAATATTATGTTTGAATAGAAAAAAAGAAGAAGAAGAAGTAAATAATGGATATAAAAATGATATATTTATAAATATTAAGTCAACAAATAAATATAGAAGTTTAAAACTATTTATTTGATCTATTTAGTTGATTTATTTAACTGATCTGTTATTTATATTTATATAATTAAAATTTTTGATGCACTTCTTGCATTTAATAT